ACAATGGCTCCCTCCAAAGAGGAAGGAGGAACACTGACAGGGTCAGTTGGGATTTTATCCTCATAATGTATTCATTTTTAATACAAATGTATCTAGGTGGTACCTGTAGAGTTAAATTTTTGAAACAAGCCCAGTCCAATCCCCAGTGAAGGCCTGTGGACCCCTTGCACCCTTACCTCTCTGGCATTCATGACAGTGCCCACACCCACCGTCAGGGCCATGGTGGGCACCTTGGCGAGGTCTCCATCGAAGAACCTAGCATTGGCCAGGATGGTGTCCATGGCCAGCGTCTTCACACGGGTCCTGGATACCAGACTGGAGCCCGGCTCATTGAAGGCAATGTGTCCGTCGGGGCCGATGCCTGCCCAGGGGAGAATCGGGGCAGCCTATCAGTGCCAGGGCCTCAGATTGCAGGGGTGGACGCTCTCCTCCTCCATCCGGGGTCTACAAAACTTGAAAACCATGTCCCTTTTCTCCTGGGCAGGTACCTAAGCACGTGATCCTTCCCTCTCCGTCTCCCACCCTTTTCTTTCTAGGGCGCACACCGCCATTGTTAACTGCTACCATCCTCAGAAAGCTAGGAAACGGGGACTCCAAATAGCTTCCTCCTCCCAGGTCACTGAAGTGTAACCTCTCTTTCTCTCTCTCTCCTGCTAATAGTCAGGGGTCCTGCTACCAGGGGAGTCACAGTGAATAAAACACACACAGGGCCTGGACAGGGGTGCCAACTTTATACAATCTCAGAATATGAGCGCTCCTGGCCTCTTCCTCCCCATCTTGAATAGAGTTAAATCCAGAGCAGTAAAAGGCAGTCCAACTTCACACCCCTGTGGGTGACTCTGGAGCTGGCAACACATGGAAATGCAAGAGGGCAGCCCAGGGTAAGAACAAAGGCACAAATCTGAGACGAGGACACCCTGGTGCCTGCCTTGTCTCCACCACTCTGGCCAGCTAACCTTGGGCAAATCACAAAACTTCCCTGGAGTTCACTTGGCTGTCTACAGCGTGCAGGGGCTGAGTGAGGAACCTTCTGGGACTACATGTGGTTTTACCTGTTTAGGTAAGTCCCATGACTGAGCTATAAAACTTCGGGCAACAAAATCTCAGAGCCCAAATTCAAACTCTCAATCTACTGACAAGGCATTGACGTGCAGAAAGAGGAGACATCCAGTGTCACACAGCTGCTGAGCAGCAGAACCAGGGCAGGGAGCTAGGGGTCCCACTCTGCCTTCCCTGCCTCCTCAGAGTCATGAGTGGCTCCCACAGTCACTAGCAGAGAAGAAGCTGTTTGAGACCGCATGTGTCTAACTGTGCTGGGTCTGGCCTAGCCACCTGCGCACTGTCAAGCTCACCTCCAACAAACAGCTCAATCCCGCCTGCAGCCTGGATCTTCTCTTCAAAGGCGTCACACTCAGCCTGCAGGTCAGCTGCATTCCCATCCAGAATGTGGGTGTTTTCCGGGTGGATGTCAATGTGCTTGAAGAAGTTGTTCCACATAAAGGAGTGGTAACTCTCTGGGTGCTCTCGAGGAAGACCTGTGGGGCCACGGCCACACTCGGTCATGCCCAGGCACAGCCAGAGCCTTCCTCTCGGGGAGGAGGCCAGGATATCCCCAGGCCCCCAGAGATGATCTCAGGGAAATGCCAGCCAGGGAACCCTGGGCACCAGCCCTCCGACCCTCCCCCCTTCAGGATAAGCTGAGCTGATGTCTCTGTCTACCCACCACCTCCACCTATGACTACAGGATTGGGCCAGAGTAGCTACACCCCAGAGGCCTAAGGAATCCCTCATTTTGATCTCCTTTTCATGGGAGAATAACCTTAGGCTAGAGGCCAGAGTTAATCTGGGCTTCTGGAGGTGGCTTAGGTACCTGGGGGTGAAGCTCTGCCTATCTGGGAAAGGAAGCATGCACACCCCTCACCCTGTGCCTAACCCCACCACTCACCTCGTTATACCCCGCTCAGCCTGAACCCCCACTTGAATACCAGGTGGTTAGGGAGAATTATCTCAGGGCTTCCCAAAAGGTTCTTTTCAGTCAAGAAGAAAAAGCATGTTTCAAGTGAATATTTAATGCTTAATGTTAAACATCAAGAATGTTTACAGTGAGCCTTAAAAAGGAAGGAAATTCTGACACATGCTACAACATGGTGAACCTCAACAACATGATGTGAAATGAAGTAAGCCAGTCACAAAAAGACAAAATACTGTATGATTCATTATATGAGGTACCTAGAGTAGTCAAATTCATAGAGAAAGTAAAATGGTGATTGCCGGGGGCTGCGGGAGTGGGAAATGGGGAGTTGGTGTTTAATGGGTATAGAGTTTCAGTTTTGCAAAATGCAGAGTTGTGGAGATTGGTCGCACAACAGTATGACTGTGCTTAACACTACTGAACACATAAAAATGGCTAAGATGGCACATTTTATGTTATGTGTATTTTGCTACAATTAAAAAAAATGTTTAAAGTGAAACCATTACAAAATTATGGGGGGGGGGGGGTGGTCGGGCATGGAAGGAGGTGACAGACCAAGGTGCTGTAGCTTTTCAGTAGTGGAAAAGACACCAGTCTCATCTCCCCTCCCAGTGTACCTGGCAGCAAGGGGCGCTAGAGGATGAACACTGGAGAGAAAGTCCAGACAGACACGGGGACACCCCCAGCCATGATCCCATTTCCAGTCATTTGTTCTAAAAAGAAAGGGCATGGAGTTGGGGGGGAGGCAAAGGAGAAAATACTAGAATATTTACTAAGTGCTTGCTCTAAATAAGAGGCTTCCACATCTGTGATATCATGTAATGCTTACAACCTATGAGGTCAGTTTTATTGGCCCCATTTTATAGCTGAGTAAACCAAGGCCTGGAAGAGATAGGAATCAGTAACTGAGCCTAGCACCAAATGTCACTGGTTTCCTGACACTGAATTCCTCTCCAACCTGCGAGGGGGAGGAGTTTGGACTCTCCTGGAATCAGATAAGGACTGAAAGGGCAAGACTCACCCACATACTCGTCCATGTTGAAGGTCTTCACATATTTGAAGGACAGGTCTCCATTCTTATAGTACTCAATTAGCTTCTTGTAGCAGCCAAGTGGGGTGCTCCCTACAAGAGAGGGCACAGCCATGAACACCCTTCAGCTCCCCACCCCCACCCCTGGAAGCCCAGAGGGCACCCGGGAATGAGTCAGGGCTGCTTCGAACAAGTCAGATCTGAAGTCCTACCCAAATGTTGCATGTCATGCTTGTTCACTGCCTAGTTCCCCACTAGACTGTAAGCCCCAGAGAGGCAGAGCTGTGTCTGTTTTGTCCATTGCTAAATCCTCAGCGTGCAGCTCATCGATGACTGAAATGACTGTGATTAGTACTTGAGTGAACATCAGACTTAATTACTAACATGACATTCTCTGAGCAACTACTCCGTGTGAGGCACAGGGGCTCGTGATGGGGATGCAGAGACGCGAGGGATATAGCAGCCACCCTGGGAGCCTATCTCAGAGTGGGGACAAGAAGCAGTAATTCCAGCTGTGACGGGGTAAGCACAGGCCAGCCTGAGGGTTCAGAGAAGACTTCCCTGAGGAGCAGCAAACTCCCAGGTTGGGTCTCATTAAAGAGCGAGTCATAAAACATAAAAAAGGCAGGAGGACCGTTTCTGAAAGAATCAGGATATTTGCTTGGAGGAGCTGGGATCAAAATATCTTCCTATAAAGGCAACATTCTGATTTTTCCCAAAGGAATGGACTGGGTGGTGGGACTAGATAGTAGCACTCCAGATGCACAGAAAATTCATTCATTACATAAAATGTCTGCCTTAAGGCGCTGGGACTTCATCCTGGGAAGGAACCCACGGCTGACAGGGCTGACTTAGGATGTAGCCAAAAACCAAGTTCTTCCTGCTCCAGGAGTCCTCAGGAGCAGGCAGCAACCCAACCACCTACAAAGGAAGCTGGGTCCTCTGTTTTGTGTGTCCAGGAGGCAGGGGAGTTGTTCACTCATGGCACCGGTACCTCAGAGTCCTCCCTCAAGTCCCCTGGCTCCCTAAAATCCCCTACTCTCCCCCCACTCCGCAACCCACGGCCCGCTCTCCATCGCATAACGCACCGGTGGGGAGCCCCAAGGTGAAGTACTTGTCTGGTCCGGGGTTAAACTGGATGATGCGGTTCCTGATGTACTTGGCGGCCCACTCACTGGCCTGAGAATAGTGGTCCAGGATGATGAGCTTCATCTTGTTCTGCAGGGGGCAGGTGAGAAAAGGACTCACTACTAAGGGGCGGGGAGAAAGGGATGCAGGTGTTTGGCTTAGAGGAGCAGCCCCTCTCACGCAGCAACACCTGGTCCCCAGGCGGCTGAGCCGGGAAGAGGAAGCACTAACTTTCAGTTCACAGGAACTGACAGCTGGGCCCAGTGCCGCCATCACCCACCAGGAGGCGCCGCTGTGGCAGAGACCTGGGTTCTAGTCTCAATTACTTCCTTTACCAGGACCTCGGTCTAAGGACCCAGAGTCTCTGAGCCTGTTTTCTCTTACGTGGAAATGGGAACATAAGTACCTACCTGACCAATTTCACGATGATGAATACTAACGAAGGGAAATGCGTGCAACCACAGTACTCTATGTTGGCTAGGACCTTGTAGCTCGA